TTATTCTTCAGCTTTGATCCTGACAATAATCTTTTGAGCCTGTTCGCCTTGAGAGATTAGTTGTCTCCAGGAACGGCATTCTGCAACTCCTATTCGGGCTAGAAGGTCGGTTTGCAAGTTGTGTCGACAGGTCTCTACTAGGGTAGACTGTGTCATACCTGATGAACATCGTAGAGCCCGTTTCGAAACCTCTTGACGAAGGATTTGACGGACTCCCTCTTCTTCTACTTAGTGGCGAGAAGGGTATGAATGAAGACTTCTGTATCCTCTTTAAAGAATCTTGATAGGAAGAGTCTTTCTAGATCTGCCCACTTTTGAATACATCCCGCATGCAGTTTTCTGAACCATTTAAAGGCAACTCCCTTAAGGTGCCAATGAACAATCGAGCCAGTATAACGTCGTTTGATATCACATTCCTAGTCTGTGACTTGAAATGATAGATATGTTGATTCGGTGATCCCGTGCTGTCAAAAATTTGTAGCATCGGGACTTCAAACTTTGGAGGATAAGGGGCTGCATCCCATTCGGCAGGATAGGGTCTGACAACTCCCTCGTCTTGGAGCTCACATCTATTGGCCATGGCATTGGGGCGGGCTTCTAATTCTTCTATTTTGGCAGAGTGAAGATTATGCTCGTTCTCAGTCTTTCTTCCTTCATCAGAAGAAGATTCCAGGTTGTGGGCTTCTTGGTCAGAAACCGTGTCATCAACCACTTTTTCCTTCCCTTTGCTTGTGTGAGGTCGGAATGAAGACATTTTTCCTCTTCGGGAGGGTTCTTGCCTAGGTGGTGAATCTGTCTTCTGAGATTTGGCCTTGTCTGCGACGATTTGATTCATCAGGGCCAAGAGTTCATTGATGGCCTCCTGCTGAGATTTGATCATGGCCTCCTGCTCATCAAGTCTCTTCGCAAGATCTTCATGGTTTTCCGTCATATAAGCGGAGCTCTCATGTTCAACAAAAGAGCTTGATGATTGGGACTCTGCAATGGCTGAGTGTTCATCATCGGAATTAGTTCCTCTAGCTAACTTCCAATAGTTTACAGGGGGAATGGTTCCTGTTTGAGTCCGAGTATGTTGATAAATTTCATCGGACCTATTCAGGGGGTCTTTCAAGCCAAGAGACTGATCTTTCTCTGACTCGTCGGAGCTAGGGACTGATGATCTCCCTCGGCCAATCATGTTAGAAGTGACTTCAAGGTATTCATCCTCTGAAGTCTTCTTCTTGTGAGAATGTCGTCGATTATTGAGCAAAGCGACGTTCGTTGGTCGGTTGAATATTGACAGCAATTCCCGCAAGTTAGAGACTTGGGATGAACCTCTCACAGAGTGTGAGGGTAGAGATGGAACCCCTTGTCCATCGATGGATGGGACTGGTTCTTGGTAAACATGAATTTTAAATCCATGTTGATCTTTTTGAACACGACGAATCACATCGCGTTCCAAAAAAGGAACACGAGGGTCGTGTTTAGCTTGATTAACGCAAGACCGAAGTCTGTGTTTTGCTAGTGAAACGCAGTCCTACGATCTGTGTTTTGCTAGTGAAATGCAGTCTTGGATGAGCATCTTCATCTCGTCGCTTTTGTGACCTGCTACCCGTCGCTTTAGCGCGGGTACAGAACCTTTAACTCGGTGGACAAGTTTGGGAGAAGCAGAGCCCACTCCTTCGGAGGAGGGGCTATTCAAGCAATCTAATCCAAAGGAGAGGACTTCCTTCGGCGATTCGGCAGAGATTGGAGCTTTAGTCTTCTTAGAGATCTTACGGACCTTGCGCATAGCCTTAGGGCTAAGGGATCCGGAGGAGAGGGCCTCCTCGTACTGGGCTTGATCAAACTCCACGACGAGAGTCTCGACCGTTGTTCCAGCGAGCTTGACGTCGGATTGCGCCACCACTTCTTCATCAGAGAAGCTAGTCCCCGGCGGAGTCGCCATCTTTTGTTTTTTAGAAAATTTGTGAAATAAAAATGATGAAAGAATTATGTTTGATTTTATTCTCTCTAACTACTTAGAAAAAAAATGTTTACAATTCCCTCAACTCTCAATTACAATCGAATTCCTGATTACAAAAGAGAAGAGAATTATTTGGATTATCTCCTTTGTTTAATTCTAGGTTCTTCTCGGTAGCGATGGAGTGCCTCCTTCGAATGCTCGCGTCGAATTTGCTCTCCGTTGATGATCCGAGCGTCTTATTTTACTGGAACATGGTCTTCTCCTCAAGATTTAACGTTGTGGATAACTTACGTGGTAAGTTTAAAAATAACTCGTAACGAGTTAATAACTCAGAGCGAGTTTTAGAAGAACTTGCAGAGCAAGTTTTGAACTCTGATCGAGTTGATAACTCTGAGCGAGTTTGAAACTCTATGAAAGAGTTGATTTAACCGAAATCGGTTTATAAGACAATGATGAAAGCTATCTGTTGTTAAACATTGCTGAAGGATGAACGTCGATCTTCCCCTCGCTACCAAGCCAAAGATCTCCTCTTCGCTGCCAAGTCTAAGATCCAAAAAACCAGCCCCAACTCAATTGGGTTTTCCACTATTTATAGGGGATTTAAGGGTGTAATCACCCCCTTAAATCTCTCCTTAATGAGGGTTTAATAAGGTGTAACTGTCCCCCATAAATCTCTCCATGATAGGGTAGTGATCCCCTCAAATCGTGGGGAGAAAATGGTTTTGGAACCATTCAAATCGTGCTTGAACGAGTCAAATGCTGAAAACAGCGTTTTGGGCCCGAACTCTGCGTTTTAGACCTGAAACGCAGAGTTGGGCCTGTTTTAGGCTGAAAATGCATAGGTCGCGCTGCGCAGAGATGAACTCTGCGTTTTGGACCTGAGACGCAGAGTTGGGTTCTGCATGAACTGTGTGTTTTTGGACCTGGGACGCAGAGTTGGGCTCCGCATGAACTGTGCGTTTTTAGACCTGGGACGCAGAGTTAGGCTCCGCATGAACTGTAAGTTTTTGGACCTGAGACGCAGAGTTAGGCTCCGCATGAACTGTGCATTTTTGGACCTGGGACGCAGAGTTGGGCTCCGCATGAACTGTGCGTTTTTGGACCTAGGACGCAGAGTTGGGCTCCGTATGAACTGTGCGTTTTTGTCGTTGGACGCAGAGTTGAAATCTATGTTTTAAGTCCACGAACTCTGTGTTTTGATTCTATAATGCAGAGGCGAGCCTTAGGCGGGCTTAGCGAACTTCAGGCTAAGTCCTATGTTCAGACGAAGTCCAGTCTTGCAGACGGACTTCAGAACATAACTTGCTACGAAGAACATGTCATAACTTTCAAACCGTAAGTCGGAATTGGATGAATTATATATGAAAATCGGCTATCTCAACGAGACGGAGCCGACCAAACTAACCCCATACGGTTCGGTTTGCTCCGTCGATTTTTTAAATTCCTTACGGTTTGAGAGATATCCGCGTTTTGGTTTGAAGAGACCGTCGATTTGTAGTCTCTTTTGCTAGATCGTTGCAAAGATCGTCATCTTGTAATCTTCACCTTGGTTCCTTAAAAATGTGAGAGTCATCAGATTGTAACTCCCGATGTTGATTGTGAAGGCTGTTGATTAGAGCTTTCATCAGTTGTTGCGAAGGTCGTCAGATTGTAACCTTCATCGATCCACGTGAAAGTATTCAAATTATAGTTTTCTGGAAGTCGTTAAATTATAACTTCCATTATTGGTGTTTGATGGGAATCAGCTATCTGTACTGATTTTTAGGTAGCCTACAGCCACTCCTCATTAGGGGATCTTAGTCTACTCGTCTTCTTGGTTCAGTCAGAATAAAAGCACGGACCAAGACAATTCCTACATTAGATCACTATCTGTGCATGTTCAGTGTACACACATCACAGGTTACAAAAAACAATAGGCAACCTAGGCATTGGACCCGACATCTAGAGTCTAGGTGCCTAGGCGGGAACCCAGATTGGGCCTAGGTGGTTTTCCTATTTTTATTTTTTAATTATAATAATTTATAGTAAATTAATGCTACTGTCATAGAAAGGTTAGGCATCAGAATAACCTTTAGGTGAACTTCTTTCTTCATTTAAGTCATGGGGTAGACAAGGTCTTGCTGAAGGTCGGAGGAGTTAGAGGAGGTTTTCATAGTAGGAGGCTAGAGGAGTTTAGAGGTTGAGATGGAGGCTACAAAGTTGAAAATAAAAATTAAGATATAAAGGGTGCAGTCCATGTAAGCAGCTCACGCTCTCCTATCCATTCCCAAAACCTAGTTGGGCAACCTAGGTACTACCTTGTCCTAGGCGGGCTAGACGGAGGCTTTTAAAACATTAATACATGCCGATAGTCAATTACCATATAAGATACATTGTCTAGTCATGAAAATTACCTTATACATCAGGTCTATACAGTGTCAGATGTTACCTACCGTTGTTAGGTAATACATGCTCATCTGTATAGTATAGCTCAGTAAAGTTTACTGATCCATTTTTCTTATGGAAATCTCAGTGCATCATTCATATTCTATTTAATGTAAGGAACAGATTCTACGGTTTCAGAAGAAAACAACCTGTGTATGCATGTACCATAATAGCTTACAGAACTCATAACCTACTCAAATGGTAAATTTTTGTTAAACATGTTCCCTACTTGTATTTGTTATTCACTTAGACCTTCATGGTTGGAGCCTTTATTTAAAATTTTGGTCTTGAGTTTGCTAGAATAACATCATATGCTACAATTTCATTAAAACATAGTTCTCCTTATATAGCTGCAAATGAGATGCAATTAAGAAAAATAAAGAGAATCAGAAGATTCAAAACCAAAAATGCTGCTTATGAATGATACTTCAATGTCAATCAAAAGTGGTAAAAGCAGTTTCCGTAGGACATCTAACTGCGATATTTTTCATAGCCATTTATTTGTAGAAGGAACTACTTGCACAATGTTAACTCTGTTAGTTAAACTTCTCAATAACATCTCATAGAACGTGTAAATGGAGTGGATTGCAAAATTGGACGTTATCGTGTCTTATTAAAATAGTATATTTACCTCTGATGTGTTGTGCCCTTGCCTCCTTTTATCTATGATAGCTAAAGGAGCATCATTTATCTTCTTGGCAAAACCACGTGCTCGGACAACACCCCCAACAATATCAGGAGAAACAACTACCAAGTCTATTGGAGAGATTTTTTTGGCTCGCCAGATAATCAAGAATCACAGGCTACATAGATCAAAAAATGGTAGATAGCTTACATTTATAAGATAAACTATTATTCACTTAGCATGTAAATGTTGCGCGTCTTGCGGAAGCGTGCTCGCACACCAAACGAGTACGTAAGCCACGAGAGAAGAAAACCAAATCAAATACAAGTGCAATCCATCAAAAATACAGGACACATCACACCAAACACAGAGATTTACGTGGTTCGGCAATTGCCTACGTCCACGGGGAGAGGATGGGGAGATTTTACTATATGGAGGAGAAGTACAACGTGTTACAACTCACAAAATCACTCAAATATAACCCTAACCAAAGCTCTCAATTCCCTCACAATATCTCCTTCTCAAAGTGCTCAAAAGTCTGCTAATTCTCTCCTTAAGAAACCCTAAAAACGTGTTTGTATTTATATCAAACACCAATCCAAAACCAACTGGGAAAACCGAAATTGGCCCATAACCGCATCGCGGTCGACCAGTCATAGCCATGCGGTTCACCAGCCAAAAGAACAATTTCTCACCCTGTAATCATGCACTTTTTCGGTCGACTGCACCTTTGCCTTCGGTCAACCGATCAGAGAATTTCTGCATCTTATTTTCCTGACGATTGCGTCGGTCGATCACCCTTGCACCATCGATCGACCAACCCGAGGGTTACTGTAGCTGTTATTTCAACTCAAAATTTTTGATTTTCGTCGCGTTTTCTACAATTCTCCACCTCGGTGAAGTTTTTCCAAAACTGAGCCGACACAAACATGAGCATCACTGCGTCGTCTCGCCAAATCCGGCTGCACCAATGTGGTTGCCTACGTACCCTCCTCCCAAGGGATCAAGCCGCCCGTAGTTCATCCAAATGGCCGCGAACGATCTCAACAATCACGAATTTGCAACAAGTTTCTACAATGATCAAACTTGTTGCTTGGAACGACCTTTGTGAGCATATCCGCTGGGTTATCTTTTGTGTGGACCTTCACGAGCTCCACATCCCCATCTTTAAGAACATCTCGAACGAAGTGATAACGAACGTTGATATGCTTCGTCCTCGCATGAAATACCTGATTCTTTGCTAAATATATAGCACTCATGCTATCACAATAAATGGTGACGGATCACTGTGAAACACCAAGATCTTTCAAAAGTCCTCGAAGCCAAATTGCCTCCTTAACAGCCTCCATAATCACCATATTCTCTACCTCCATCGTCGACAAAGTCATCGTAGACTGCAAGGTACATCTCCAACACACTGGCGTACGGGTCAAAGTGAACACATACCCCATCGTCGACCGGTGTTTATTCAAATCTCCAGCGTAGTCCGAATCTACGTATCCAATACATAACTTCCCACCGCTAGTATCCCGCTCAAAAACCAAACCAACGTTGAGAGTACCTTGAATGTACCTCAAAATCTATCTCACGGCATCCTAATAACCTGAACCCAGATTATGCATGTATCTAGAAATCATGCTCACTGTCTGTGATAAATCCGGCCTCGTACAAACTATGGCGTACATCAAACTCCCAACTACGCTAGCATATGGAGTCTTCGATATTAACTCTCGATCTTCAATAGTCTTTGGTGAAAGGTCGGATGAAAGCTTTAAATGGGCTCCCAATGGTGCACTAACTGGCTTTGTTTCCATGCTTACAGTGAACCGTTGTAGAACCATTTTCAAATAAGCCACATGTGTTAAACACATTCTGCCCTTGTCTCTGTCTCTTCTGATCTCCATTCCCAAAATATGCTTAGCTTCACCCAAATCCTTCATCTCGAACTCGTTGGAAAGCTAAATCTTCAATCTATCTATCACAGATCTGGAAGTAGAAGCAACCAACATGTCATCAACATAAAGTAATAGGTAAATGTACGCACATTCATTCAACTTGCGATGGTACACGCAAGGATCAAACTGGCTCCTAATGTACGAATGACCGATCATAAACCCATCAAATCGCTTATATCACTGTCGAGGAGATTGCTTCAGCCCATATAGCGATTTCTTCAACTACAAACCAATTTTTCCTTCACTGCAGCTCGGAACCCCAATGGCTGATTTATATAGATTTTCTCATCAAGATCGCCATGATGAAATATTGTTTTCACATCCAATTGATCTAATTCTAAACCATACTGTACCACCAAAGCTAGCAAAATCCGAATCGAAGAATGCTTCACCACTAGAGAGAAAACCTCATTATAATTAATACATTTCTCCTGTGCATAGCCCTTTGTAACTAACCTAACCTTGAGCCTCACAGGAGTGCCTTTAATGCCCTCCTTCTTTGTATACACCCACTTGCAACCAATAGTCTTCCGCCCCTTTGGAAGCTCGATAAGCTCCCATGTGCCATTCCAATGAAGAGACTCCATCTCCTCCTGCATAGCCACCTACCACAAATCAGCCTCTAAACTTTGCTCGGCCTCTCTGAATGTAGTAGGAATCATCTCATCAACACTCTCTACCGAAAGTGCTTATGTAACAACTGTGTCTGCATATCTAGCTGGCATCCGTATGTCTCTCTTCTGTCACTGAACCGCAATAGACTCCTAAACCTGAGCCGTCGATTCCTGATCCTTCTCAAGTGTACCTATATCCTCCAAATTATCACCGTGCTCGCCTGGCGTCACTCCAGTTGGCACTCTAATAGATATGGTCCTAAGTGGACAATGTGGAGCTACATTAATCTTCACCACCTACGATGTCTCTAATGTCGGGTCGCTCTCCACCTGATGGGAGCTAAGAAGCTTCAAGATAGAAACCTCATCGACTGTGACGTCTCTACTCAGCACAATCTTTTTATTAACTAGATCTCAAAGCTTATATCCCTTGACATCACGCTTGAATCCCACAAATAAGGCCTTCCTAGCTCGAGGTTCCAATTTATCTATTTTCACATGATAAAATACTGGGTACCCAAATACCTTGAGCTGATCATAGTCGTGTGCTGGCTCTCCTGACCACATCTCCATAGGGGTTTTCTCCCCAATCACAGATGAATGTAACCTATTAATGAGGTAGCTCGCATAAGAAAGTGTCTCAGCCCAAAAGATATTCTCCAAAACATCTACGATAATAAACATCGGACCTTCTCCAGCAAAAACCGATTCAACCTTTCTACCACCCCATTCTGCTGTGGTGTTACTAATTATGAAGTATCTCTCTATGTCATCGTCTCGACATAGCTGCTGAAAGGGGTCTGAAGTATACTCATCTTTGTTGTCGGATCATAACGTCTTGATCTTTCTCCCAGTCTACAGTTCTAATCTCTTCTTCCACTCCATAAATATCTCTAGGACTTCACTCTTCATCATCATGGTGTACACCCAACAACACCTAGAATAGTCATCTATGAATATGATGAACTAATGCTAACTACTAAGTGATCCCGTCTTGGTGGGACCCCAAACATCTATGTGCACGTAGTCCAAGATGCCCCTAGTCCTATGAATGACTGTCCTAAACTTCACATTTGTTTTTTTGCCAAGAACACAGTGCTCACAGAATTTAACTTTCCTACTCTTAGCTCCCTTTAATAGCCCCTGCTTGCATAAAGCCTACAGTGAATTTTCACATGTGTGCCCCAACCTATAGTGCCAAAGCCTGCTCGCATCCGCCTCTGAACCAGTTGAAGATACCTAGCCAATCTCGGTGCTCCCCTTCAGATAATACAAATTTTTACTATGAAATCCCTTCATCACCACCAAAGATCTCTTAGTAACATTCACTACAGCGTTCTCAAAGGTCACCTTGAATCCCTTCGCCTCCGAAGCTCCAACTGAAATAAGATTTTTCTTCAACTGAGGAACAAATCTCACTTCATTCAATTCACGAACTACTCCAGTGTGCATCCAAATCCTGACGGTACCTATCCTACAAATGCTACACGATTGATCATTTCTCATGACTATCACGCCCTCATCGAGTTTCTCGAATGATGCAAACCAATCTCGTCGGGGAGTCACATGATAAGTAGCATCAGAATTAAGTATCCAATCAGATGCATCAATATGGTTCACCTCTGGAGTAATCAATAGAGAAAAGCACGAATCATCAAAATTATCACCTCTCGCGATGTTCACCTCATTGGCCTTCGGGCCCTTCTTCTTGCTATTCTCATTCTCCTTGAGCTTCGGGCAATCTCTCTTCCAATGTCCTTGTTCCTTATAGAATGCATGCTAGTTCTTCGCTAACTGGTGGTGGCCCCTTGACTTTGACTTGTTCTTATTACTACCTCTTGGATATAGACTTCTACCTCTCATCGACAAGGCCTCTCCTGAAGTGCTAACATGGGAAGTCTCTTTGTCCTTCCTCTTCAAAGCATAGTTCGTCAATGCATTAGTCACTTCACTGTAGGTGATGGAAGATCTCTCATTTAACAAAGTGAGCACGAAGGTATCATACTCCTCATCCGGTAAGGAGCCCAACAAAATAATCGCCTTGTACTTGTCTGTTATCTTCTCATCCACATTCGTCAAATATAACAATAACTTTGTGTAGCTGTTCACATGAGCCGTAAGTGAGGTGCCCCTGGACATCGAGAATCTGAATATTCTTCACAGTAAGTACAAACGATTCTCAACACTCTTCGTAAGGTACTTATTGTTAAGAATCTCCCACATCTTCATCGCAGACGTCACACCAATCACATTATATTTCAGCTCTTGTTCCAAACAAGATCTGATCATCCCACAAGCGTTCCTATTTATCTTGTCTCATATCGCCTCATCATATTTTGGTGGCTTCTCATGGACCATAATGGTCTTTTCCAAGTTTTGAGCATTGAGAGTGTCCTTTACGTCACTCATCCATAAACTAAAATTGATCTTGCCGTCATATTTCACCATCCTAATCTTAGTGTTTTGAAATCCATCTTGAACTGTACTCGCCATCGTCTTACTGCTTTCACCAACTTCCTCTCCCATGCTTATAAACTCCAAATTACAAAGAAAGATTCAAACTTTGATATAAATTGAGAAATTACCCAGCTGAACCCTAGATCAGATTCTAAATAGATCTCCTAACCACACGAGGAAAGCAAAATCTCGAACCGGTAACTCCACAATGCTATCTCCACCGAAGCCTAGAACTTTAAGAACCAAGCTTCCAAAAAAAATGAATCTTCCTCCACCCAATGCAAAACCCTAGATTTGAAACCCTAGAGCTCTGTTATCAATTTTTACGCGCATTGCGAAAGAGTGCTCACACACCAAATGAAACCGTAAGCTACAAGAGAAGAAAATTAAATCAAATACAAATACAATCCACCCAAAATACGTCATAAATCACACTAAACATAGAGATTTACGTGGTTCGGCAATTTCCTACGTCCACGAGGAGAGGATGGGAAGATTTCACTATATGGACGAGAAGTACAACGGGTTACAACTCACAAAATCACTCAAATATAACCCTAACCAAAACTCTCAACTCCCTCATAATATATCCCTCTCAAAGTGCTCAAAAGTCTGCTAATTCTCTCCTAAAGAAACCCTAAAAATTTGTTTATATTTTATATCAAACACCAATCCAAAACCAACTGAAAAAACCAAAACTAGCCCATAACTGCATCACGGTTGACCGGTCATAGTCATGCGGTCGACCGGCCAGAAGCACAATTTCTCACCCTATAATCGTGCATTTTTTTGGTCAACCACACCTTTGCCTTCGGTCGACCAATCCGAGAATTCATGTATCCTATTTTCCTGACGATTACGTCGGTCGACTGCCCTTGCACCCTCGGTCGACAGAACCGAGGGTTACTGTAGCTGTTATTTTAACTCAAATTTTCTAATTTTCGTCGTGTTTTCTACAGGAAAAAGACAGTGGCACTTTCAAAGCATCCCAAAGTCCAGAAAAACATTATAGCTAAATGCGGAAGATCATGCATGTGAATAAATACCCGCCCAAATACATGATCAACAAAAATATTGAAATATCCCAATGCCTATCTTGAATGAAGGTCGCAAGAAAGAACACGACTAGCACCTACTTCTGTAATCAAGTTTGCAACAAGTTTGGCAGCAATTGACTCACGTCCATGAGTCTTGGGGAATAAATTCAAAATTTTCAATCAATTAGACTAAGGCTCTGTTTGGTTTGATAGAAAGGGAGAGAACGGAAAGTAAAATAGAAGAGAAAGTGTGTTTCTACTGTTTGGTTTGAAAGAAAACAAAAAAGAAAAAGAAAATAATTTTCACTGGAGAAAAACACATACTTATTTTTTCTTCTCCCCTTTCCCTCTGCTGCCTAGGTGAAAACGAGGGAGAGCGACGGAATCGCTTACTCGTCACCTCCCAA